TAAATCTTAATTATTGTAACTGAATAAAACTATTAAATAAAACACACCTACCACACTCGTTTTTCTCTTTTTTTTTCTTTATCTTCAAAATTGTTATAAAATTTGGTGCACAATGTCTCCCATGCCTTGGATTTTTCAAATCTATTGCTGCATGTATCTTTTGTATAGTCCCAAATGCAAGGAAGAAGGCGGATTTCCTCTATAAATAGTTCCGTGTCGAAATCTTCATCCATTTTTTAAGAATAAGCGTTCAATACGCAGGCAACAGAGGTAATGCAAAAGTAATGCAGAGGTATGACTGGAGTCGGTATCATAGATAAGATACTGTGATATAATTTACTATAATAAAAATCGGTCTGGTCATCATCTGATCCAGTTTTGTTGTTGTTGTCGCGTCGCCGTCGTCGGAAAAACGTCCGTGTGAGTTGGATTCACTACGGGCGGGCGACAATTTTGTGGACGGTATCGACCACGCACGGCGACAGTTGCCGAAACCGACTGCAGTTTGTCGCCCGTGTGAGCGCTTCACCGGATTTCCATTTAAAATCGTTACTCTCCAGAGGCGACCACATTTCCATGTTTCAAAAGTCGCTGAAAAGTCGTCCGTGTGAGTGTACCCTAAGAGTAAAGCTTTTAAATGGAAAGTTGTGTTTGGAGCACAAACGGGCGACCCTTTAGAACTTCGTCTATCGTGCGTGAAATGACCGTAAATAATATTGTCGCCGGCTCGTAGTGAATTCAACTCACAAAAATTTCAACGAATGCCTGTATATATTTTAATATACAACTTTGTTCATGTTTCAAAGCGATAGCAAAGTAATTTGTAGCTTGATGCACTATGTTCAGTAGCAACATCGATTCGTAGCGATATTATGATTTCTCGCTTTGTGGCGAGGCGACAGTCTAGACACGTGTGCAAGAGTGTGATAGTGATACCATATTTCGCAGCATTTGAGCGACAATAGTTTTGCAATGAACATAGTATCGATCTGGTTTTGACATCGCTTCTAAACGATCGGTTGCTAACTTGAACAAAGTTGCACCCCAGATGCTGACCAGGCCGACTTTTATTATAGTAAATTATATTATAGTATCTTATCTATGAGGCCGACTCCAGTCATACCTTTGCAGTAATTGGTCTAACAAATAATCGAATGTATTTTTAATCATTCTAAAGTAATTAAAGAATTTTTCATCATACATTCGTAAAAAAAGTTTTTGGAACTGGTTTTCATTTTTATTTTCTATAATTGGATGATCTTGGAATTCTTTCACTGCGGTTTGGCCTTCTTTTTCAAAGAAAAAGCCACAACAGTGCTTCTTCTTCAAATCTAATTTTGACTGAATCAAAAATTTAGTTGTCGTTCGGGTGTCGTCCATCAACTCACACGTGCGACTTTTCGACGAAATTTTTGACGTGCAGTTGTGTTTGGAACGTCGTCGATAGATGCGACAGCTTGACTACTGTTTTGTAGTTGGAAAGTGGTCCATGTGAGCGTAGTCTTGGAATATTTGTTATCCTAGGAATACGTAGTGACGCGACGTGTATTTGTGAGCAGTCCATGTGTTTATCAGAAAAATTGACATTTTAATACCAATGTTCTGAAAGTGAATAAAATTATTACGCGTAAAAAACTATTATGGGTAAAAAAACCATTTGTTACATTATTTTTTATGCATCAAAAATATTTTTTATGCGTAAAAATAGTTATTTATGCAACAAGTTGCGAAATGAATGTGTTTTAAGCACGGGACGTAAAATTGTCAATGCATCGAGTGCTTAAAACACTCTTTTTGCAACGAATTTCATACAAGATTTTTTATGAAAGCGGGTAATTTGAGATTTTCATTCTATTATTATTATTTATTTTTAAACATTTTTTAAAATGTTCTGGTAATCGGTTTCTAAGGCATTTTTTATGCATTGTTTAATGACAAAGTTCTATCAGGTTCAAAGCTCGCCGTATTTCCTACAAAGTTTTGTGAAAAAATTAGTGATAATGACGAGTTTTTGGATATTCAACAAGCTGCTGAAACTGCGCTATCCACGTTAGTGCCCGAGAAGTCGAAAAACTTATACGAGACCACCTACAACAACTTTGAAATCTGGGTCAAAGAAAAACACGTTGAGAATTTCACAGAAGACGTATTGCTAGCCTATTTCCTGAAGTTATCCACTACCTTAAAGCCGTCAACTCTGTGGAGTAAATATTCAATGCTCCGCACCATGATTTACCTAAACAGAAACGTAGATATTAGCAAATTCACAAACCTTATTGCATTTTTAAAAAGAAAAGCTTCCGGATATCAGGCAAAGAAATCAAAAGTATTTACAAAACTGGAAATAGAACGCTTTATGAAAGAAGCCGATGACAAAGAATTTCTGTTAGCTAAAGTTGTCTTAATCGTTGGAGTATTTGGAGCACGTAGGAGGGGAGAAATCACGTTTTTGAGGGTAGAGGGTCATTTATTAGTGTGAAGATTACGAATACAAAAACTCATTTTCCAAGAATGTTTGCGATTACTCAGGGACCAATAGATGGTATCAATTTCTTACATGTATTTCGTAAGTACGCAAAACTTCGACCACTCAATGTGAAACATCAGCGATTTTTCTCGACGTATCGAAAAAATCAATGCTGTAGCCTGCCAGTTGGAACCAATACAATAATTGGGGGTATGCCAAAAAAGATAGCGGAATTTCTTGAACTCTCCAACGCCATTGAATACACTGGTCATTGTTTCCGGCGCAGCTCTGCAACAATGCTGGCAGATTCAGGAGCGGACATAACAGTTTTAAAGCGACATGGAGGTTGGCGATTAAGCTCGGTTGCTGAAGGTTACATTGAAAATTCAATTGAATAGAAAACCGAAATAGCAAAAAGAATCATGGTACATAAAGATACGCCAAATAAGAAATTAAAAGCAGGTCACGTAGAAGCAGAAGCTGCCAACGTTGCCAGTACAAGAAATTTACTTATTCCGACTCCTACAGCTTGCATTTCTCTTAGAGAGGAAAAGTTGGATGCCTCTTGTATTCCCTTTAATAGTTTAAATAATTGTACCTTTAAGATTTATAATAAATAAATATTTTCATTGTTTCTAACGTTTTATTTTTTATTTTTAGGCACTAGTGCATAAACACGTGTCACTTTTAGATACTAGTGCCTAAAAGAATGTCATTTCGAATCTCAAATAAATATCAAAAACTGTCAATTTCGAAAAGCTTTCATAATAGTATACATAGATAAATGCAACAAGTTTAGATTGGAAAGCCCGTAAAAATTTTAGGTCGCGAAATTATTTTGGGTCGCGACCGTTATACGCGATCTGGCGCTGCTATAGCGGTCGCTAAGAACAACGGCAAACAAAAACAGAAATAATTTTCTCTTGTCAAAGTCAGAATCTTCAAAAATCATAATAATCTTCAAAATCTAAACCGCTCTCATTAAAGAAATTCCGAAAAGTGTTTATAGCGTTCATTTTCAAAGTAATTATTGCTATCTTGTGAGTTTAATTCAAGTTTTATTTACTCCAACTGGTGATAATTGTGAAAAAGTGGCATTAAAAACTTAAAAAGCTGTGCTGTGAACTGTGAACCATGGGGGTGACAGTAAACCGGAAAAATGGAAACAGTTGTGGCGCAGTTCTACCCAGGCAGAAAGCATGGCCTTCTAGACTGTCCTAGACAAAAATCTGAATATTTCTATATGATTTCTGTCAATTTCTGCTACGGAACATTTTTATGCACGTCGGCGTCCTGTTCTTTTGTCTTATGTCTGTGTGTCAGCGTCAGCTCCCGATGCCTCTGGCAAGGTCGGGCGCCATTTTAATTTTTGCCGTTTAGATTTGATTGGAAGTTTGTTTCTGATATTTCGGCTGAAATTTATAAGTACAAAGATGTTTTTTGATATAAAGTTCCTTGTTAACACTTTAATAAAGTATATATGATATTAATAACATGAAGAAAATGATGAAATTGACGTTTCTGCGTGTAGTAGGTATGGGCCACATTATATGTAAAAATAGGTAATATATTAACTGTTTTTATATTTTTTTAGCTTTAAACCCAAGGATCTTGGGATATTCTTTGCCAAGGATTTTTCCGTATCTCTACTTTAAAGACTGATCGGTGATTTTGAGCAATTGAAAGCAAGTTATACAAGGTAAATTATGATTATTGAACTATTATTAGCCTACGTTAAATTTCTACAAGATGAACAGAAATGCGTAATTACATATCACATAGGTACCTATTATGTATTTTCATAGCAATAATGCTATAAATCTATGTATGTAGATTATTTTTAAAATACAAATGAGGTATTAGATGTATATGTATCATATTTTTTATTCATTTTATTTTCATTCAAGTCCTGTTTGATTTAATTCACAAAAGTCTTATGTAGGTACCTATATTTATATTTTTTACATATTTTTTTTGATTCCAGGTTTTGTGTGGGTTCCGGTTGCCTTTTTCCTGCTTCCAGTTATTTATCCGTGAAGCTGTGAAAACATTTATTTATCTTCAAGTTTCTGTAAGTCAATGCACTGTTACTTTACTAATTCGCTTTAACACAGCATCTCTGATATTATTTAAATATTTAATATTGATACAGTAGTTTATTGGTTTATAGCTCTTTAATTGTGTTGATTTGCATATTTACATTGTTCTAAATTCCAAATAAATATTTTTGAGTAATTTTGTTGTATTATTTAGTACTAGAAAGAGTAAAAGTATATTAACCCTCATTTAAACCTCCTGAACAGCCCGCCATTAAAAACCGGAAACGGAAATAAATTTCATAAAATTGAAATTGTCATGTCTATGTCATGTCAAATGTCCCAGCCGCCATATCTGAAAATTAGTTACCCAGGCAGCCACGCTGTTTCCATAATTTAACATTGACTTGACACTTCTCCTTGTATTTATTATTTTATGGTCGTAGAAAAAAATATATATTTTTAATTTATTACTTTTTCAAACATGTCCTTCAAATCCTTCAATTTAAAAGCTGTTAGTAAGAAGTTTCACTTCAAATATGCGCAAATACAATTTTTTTATTACAAAATTTGAATACTAAGACATTTATTTATAGAAAGAAAATTATACTCGAATATAAGTTGAATTATTTTGTGATAATCAATTATATTTACTATATCATTTCACGTTGCTTTTGATTTAAATCGATAATAAATTGAAATTTGTAGAATGTAACATTTAAACTATCCTACCCTGTATTTAAAAATACTAAAAATACTTTTACGCTTTTACATAGATCATTCTGTGGATAATTTTACCCGTTTGAAAATTCGTTTTGTTTCTATTATAATACTTATTATAAAACCTTTGATTGTTAAGGTTATTTTTAATACCATCGAAGTACTAATACATAATAATCTACAGCCACTATGTTCCACAACTCACAACGTTAACATATATCTAAAATAAAGTCTCTTGGCTCCAGGGGTACTTCTTTTCTAAGGTACCGCTAGATGAAGACAATCTGTGTACGTCCGTTAAGGAAATTTGTGGTAATCGTGTTGATTCAAACAACGTGGAAGATGATTTTGATGCTCTGCTGAAATCCGGTCTATTGCTTGGTGTACAAAGTTGTTCCATTGTTGTTCTAAATGACACATAATAAATATTATCAAGTTTTTTCCAAAAAAAAAGTAAAATTATTTTTCAACACCCTCTACACTATGCCCGAAATGTTTCACGAAATATTTCTCGTAAGATTTCGTAAAACATTTCGATCACTTGCAATAAAAAATTTATAACACGCGTCTATACAGGACAGTCCGAACTGTATTCGGGAAACTTCGGCAACATATTATACAGATAAAAATAAGTAAAAAAGTTCGTATTATAAATGTATGTCCTAAAATGCTTAGTTTCGGAGATACAGGGTGTAGAAGTTTCATTTTTATTTCGATTTTTTCCAATTAATTTTTGAAGTAACGTCATTATTTGGATGGAAATTGGTGTCTGAGAGTTTTTTAGTGTAGGAGAACATGCCAAAATGACTCCTATTTGTAGGGGGCGCCACCTACATGTGTTCTAACTGTTTTGAAGAGTTATAACTTTTCGTCCCTACCTGTATAAAACTACTGAGTGAAAAAATATATATTTCCGTGACTTTTAACGTAAAAAATGTCTTTTAATAAAAATCGCCACGAGCAACCGTTCTCATGATATTTAAGGTCGATTTATAAACTGAAAACTTTGCGGTTCGACGCCCGACGTTACGGTCGGTAAAAAGTTTGTTTATACGCAGGATGTTTTGTTGATTATAAATTTTTCGGTTGTTGTTGCGGTTGACGTTTTACGTCAAAAGTTAACCAATTTTGAACTTCGACAGGAACGTTGACCTTGAAACGTTAGTAATTGTGGTAATAGCCAATAGAAATAATCGCAACCGCAACGTCGAACCGCACTGTTTTCAGTTTATAAATCGACCTTTAGAATGGAAACAGTCCATACATGTCATTATTGACAAAAATAAACACACTGAGTAAATAGTTATTTGTCTGAAATATTAAATTTGGGAAATTTTTATTTTTTTAAATTAATCATCAACTTTTCTGCGAAAAAATGATGGTAAAACAGTTTCTGTTGAACTTTTGACACAAAAACATTTCAAATTTATGATTTCAGTCTAATAATTATTTAGTCAACATTAATTTATGTCAATGATGACAGATATTGATAAATTCGATTCCAAATATCTGGAGAACCATTACTCGTAGCTATTTTTACCAAGAGACCTTTTTTACGTAAAAAACGTGGTAATTGTTTATTTTTTTATTCAGTAGTTTTATACAGGTACGGACGAAAAGTTATTACTCTTCAAACCAGTTAAAAAATATGTAGGTGACGCCCTCTACAAGTAGGAGTCATATTGACATCAAAATCAAATTTCTCATGTCAAAAAAGTAGACACCTTTGAATAAGGTAGACACCAATTTTCATCCAAATACTGACGTTACTTCAGAAATTATTTATAAAAATCACAAAATAAAAATGAAACTTCTACACCCTGTATTTCCGAAACTAAGAAGAATCTGCAGAATATGCTGTCGAAGTTTCCGGAATACAGTTCGGACCAACCTGTATATTCTTCACGTCAAACTTTGTGGTGGCTTCAGAAAAATAAGTAAACATGGCGTATAAATAAATATCATTAGTTTGTAATGGAGTGTAATATAATATAACTGTTAATTCTGTGGAATATACAGGGTGTCCCAAAAATAAAAATAAAATGAAAATTTGGAAACTTTTTAAATTTTAAGTTAAAAAACATAATTTCTTGATAATATGGTAACATAAGTACAGTATTGGCTATAAGTGGATGAACTTGGTTAAAATAATGGGGTTTTCCTAATATGTTTAAAATTAAAATTTGAGCTATATTTACTTGAAGTCTAGTGTCAGTGCTATAAAAATAAATAGCATTGTTTTTTTTTAAATTTGCTTTAATAAGGTAGCAAAAAATTTAAATTGAAAAACCCATTGGACAAAAGTAGATGAACAAAATATATATTTAATAAAAAATAAATCTTATGTTAACAAAAACTGAAAAATTAACTTATAATTTACTAGTAGGTACTTAGTGTAATAACCCTTATTCTTAATTACTTTCAGACATCGCTTAGGCATAGATCCCAGAAGATTTTCAATTATAGAAAAATCGATATTTTTCCAAGGCTCTTCCAAAGCTGCAAATAATTCTTGCTTATTTTTGTAGAATTTGGTCCTAATGTGTTGATCCAAAATTTCCCATAAATTTTCTATTGGATTCAGGTCTGGGGATTGCGATGGCCATTTGAGAACAGTCACCATTTCATCTTCCAAAAACCTTTTAACCAATTGTGAGGCATGTTTTGGGTCGTTATCATGTTGGCAGTACTGTACAACTGGCATTTTTTCGTCCAAATAAGGCACTAAAAGATTTTGTAAAATGTCTCTGTAGCCAAACCGATCCATTATGCCCTCAATTTTATGGAGAGGCCCCATCCCATACCCAGAAAAACAGTCCCATACCATGATTGAGCCCCCACCATGATTTACAGTGGGTCGCGTGTACTTTGGTAGCAATCGTGTGTTGGGAGGTCTTCTTACATGTTGAATTCCATCTGATGACACCAAATTAAACTTTGATTCATCACTAAAACAAACTTTTTTCCATTGTGCCACAGTCCAGTTTTGATGTTCCTTGGAAATGCTAATCGGGCCTTCAGATTTTTTTTTGATAGCAGTGGTTTCTTGGCGGGTCTTTCAACTAATTTACGTCGGATCGTCCTTGTACTCATTGGTGGATAGCCCAATTCTTCAAGTTTTGCTTCTATCTACGTTGACGGCAAAAATGGATCTTGTGAAGAAATTCGTTTTATGGCTTTTATTACATTTGGACCAACTTTTTTAGGTCGTCCGTCGTCCTGGTTTTCTTTTTATAGAAACATCTCCTCTCTCATTATATCTCTTTAAAATATAATGCACCGCTGATTTTCCAAGGCGTAATTGCTTAGCGATTTCCGATTGCTTCAAACCATCCTTAAAAGCATTTACTACTCGCAACTTAAGATCTGCAGACAAGTTAATTCCACGTGGCATGATATATCACAAGAGCTCATATGTTTTTAAATCGCAATTGTTCATAAAAGCAGAACAAATAAAACTAACGATTTTTAAAAATATTTGGTTCATCTACTCTTGTCCAAGACAAAAAAGCAACATTTGCCAATTCTTATCTATAACTGATAAGACTAACAGAAGAATTTATATTTGTTTGTAGTATTTTGGTGAGAATGTATTAACCTTTTAACATACAAAGGTACATAAAATAATTTTGATATTTAACACCTCATTTCTGATTTTCTTCTCTATTATTGGTATTGGTTCATCCACTTTTGGCCAATACTGTAGTAGCTTAAATTTACATGAAAGAAAATCCAGAAAAGATCCACTGGTTCTCAAGATTTTAGCAAAAAATGATTTTTTTTGGAAATTTTCAAAGTAAAATAACTCGGTTATTTTGGACTTATTTGAAAAACGATAAAGAGAAAAAATGTTTCTTTTGACCAGATCTACCACCCCTTAAAATATTTGCTCTTATTTTTGGGACACCCTGTATATCAATATAACATAAAACGAGATGTAATTAACGAAATATCACCGTAACAACATATATTTTAGAAACGTCTAGGTCTACTTATTTCACTGAGATTTATAAAAAAAAATCCTTTGCCTCGGGTACAGATACCGCCACGTTTTGGAAATAGCTTAAAACGAAACAAAAATGAACGAGGCAACAGGAAACGTCAAAAAAATCCCCCCACTTCCTCAGGAGTAGTTCTCAAGCGTTTTTAAGAATCAAAAGTAGGTCGAGGCAAACCGAAATGGGTCAAGACAACTGAAAATAAATCGAAATGCGTCAAAGTTGGGCGACGAAATGCGACCTTGACCTGTTTCGAAGAATTCTCCGCATAGTGTAGAGGCTGTTTAAGAAATGAAAGTAGATCAAAAGACAAGCGGAAAATACGTTTTTAAGAAACGAAAGTAGGTCGTGACCTACTTCCTAAGGTCGTGACCTTGACCTGATTCGGAGTGTTTTCCTGATAATGTACAGGGTGTATTACCTTTGATTATCAGCACTAATCGTAGGTGAAGTATTTTCCGACACAACACACACTGTAGTTCTTTTATCATAACAAGCACCTTCTTCACTATTGACATCGCTATCTGTATCGAAAGGATCGACGCCATTTTCTGTATTTTCTTCCTCTTCGTCCGGATAGGTACTGCCTACGTACGAGAGCCCTTCACAATCTGGATAATCGGTACCTGCAATTAGATATGTTAGCGGTTTTGTTCAAATCTTGCTATAGACTGTACTACAATAGCAATAGTGAGAGTTATTATGTCAATTTAATTATTAATAAAGGGATATTCACATTGTCCTGTACAGGGTGGGTTAATTTGTACGCTTTTAAAAACCTTTTTCTATAGGAGACGAAAACTAATATCGGTGTCTGGTACGAAAGCGTAGAGCTGCCATCGCAACAATGAAATATAATTTTAGCAAAATTTACACTTTTTCTGTAAATTTACAGATTTTCTGTAAATTTACACTTTTTCTGTATGTGTTAAATTTACACTTTTTCTGTAAATTTACACATTTTCTGTAAATTTACAGATTTTCTGTAAATTTACACTTTTTCTGTAAATTTACACTTTTTCTGTAAATTGCATGCGAAATTTACTACCCAGCAGAATGACGTCTCGGCATCGACCTGCTCGTTACTCACTAGTTACAAGTGAGCATTATTCTCCGCTGATTAAGTTGCTATTGTGCCTAAGTAGTACAGATATTCATCAGAGATTATGGACGAATACATTAAAAACCTACTTTCATATCGGATTAAGTCACAAAGAAATTTTGACATGTCTGCTAGAGGATGGTTATGCCCTAAGTTTACATCATTTGCAGACGACAGTTTACGTCATCCCAGAGGTGGAGGCCATCAGATCCTCTTGCAAACAGTAATGCATCGGAAAGGGTGAAAATACTTTCCGGGTCGATTAAAAGCATATTAGAAAACATATTAAACAAAAATGCCATACTATTATATCACACACATTCGAAATTTAATACATAATCCCTAAAATAAGAGATCACCCGATTTTCTGTACTATGTTAGACCCAGGTTCAGTATAGACGATGAGGAATAATTCTTTAAGTATTTTTTTGAAGAGAGTGTGGTTTCAGAACAAAATATATCTTTCAATATACTGGGATATTGCTTAATCTTTTCATATAGTCCGCATGTCTTCAATCCTTCAATTAATTGCCGCAGTGGTTCCCTAATTCTGTCTTTACTAGTAAAGACTTTTGTGAATAAACTGGCGTAGAACAGAATTCGATGGGAACTACTCGTAGAATAACGCACCACTGTTGCCACTAACGCATAAATTAACAGAAAAAGTGTAAATTTACAGAAAATCTGTAAATTTACAGGAAAAGTGTAAATTTACAGAAAATCTGTAAATTTACAGAAAAAGTGTAAATTTTGCTAAAAATATTTTTCAATGTTGCGATGGCAGCTCTACGCTTTCGTAGTCTGGAGACCAATTTTTATCAAAAACGTGATGGTGAAAACCGCACATCGATATCTGTTACCGTTTATGAGTTACGGGGTGTTTTTCGAAAATCTGCATTTTTAGCAAATCGCTGTAGCTTTTTTGCTATGGAAAATTTAGTATTTTTGTGAAAACATTTCCAAAGCACCTTTTTACGTAGAATTTAATTGTTTAAGTATAATTTTTTTTTAATTAATAATTTAAGAGGTATCAACATAAAAATTGATTTTTGTTTGGAACACTATATTTCTAATTAAGTCAAAAGAACTTAAAATTACATTTCCAAAAATATAGCACACTTGATGTTTTGTTATAGTCCCCTTCTAAATACAGAATTTTTGTAAGTTTGCCACTTTTAACTAGCGGGCTTTGGACCCCTTATCGATGATCTGCCCCTAATGGAACTAGAAAACATATTTTTCCAGCAAGACGAGGCACCGCCTCAGAACGCTGAAGTTATCAGCAAATTTTTGCAGCCAATTTCGAGAATAATTGGATAGCTAACCAAGCGCCGGAATTAGTGCCTGTGAATTTTTATCTTTGCGGAAGAATAAAGGTTCTTATTTTTAAATCACCTGTATAATCTAGACAAGAATTATAAGTACTTATAAGTGGTTATGTGAAGGTATCTTTCACCCCTACTGTGTTAATGAATTCCGCAAGAAATTATTCAAAAACGGTCCTGTCTGTCCATAACAAAAGAGGGTCAACAAGTCGAACACCTGTAGCAAAATATCATGTTTTGGTTTGCTATTGATTTTTATTGTTATTAGATATAGTTTAAATGTGTTGATGTTGTTAAATATACTTTAAACTGATATAAAATTCTGTATCTCTCATTGCGAATATTATTTTCGTTTTAATTGCTGGTTACAGCTAGTATTTTTTTGCTTTACCGGCGCCGTTCAAAGCCAACTTTTAACAACGAATTTTTAACAACTCTATATCTCGAAGAGGAATCGAGCAAAATATCAAGTATGCTATGTTTTTGGAAAGGCAACTTTAAATTATTCCCAATGAATTAAAAACATACAGAGTGTCCGACAGAAAAAATCAAATTTTCTGTTGATAATTCTTAAATTATTAATTTAAAAAAAATTATACTTAAACCATTAAATTCTACGTAAAAAGTGCTTTGAAAATGTTTTCACAAAAATATAAAATTATATAGCAAAAAAGTTACAGCAATTTGTTAAAAATTCACATTTTTGAAAAACGGGGTTAAACGGGGTTTAAAAGTTACGGGGTACTCCGAAAAGGTAACAGATATCGACGTGCGGTTTTCACCATCATGTTTCTGATAAAAATTGAGCTCCAGACACCGCTATTAGTTTTCGTCTATCTCCTATAGAAAAGGGTCCCTTTAAAAGCGTCCAGCTTGACCCACCCTGTACATATCATACTACCCCGTATTATTGCATTACGATTACGAAATAAGAAAGTTAGGTACCTAAGGAACTATTACAGCTGCTGATGGAAGCCAGTGGAGCTAGTTTCGGTTTCAAATTCGGTTGATCTACGACCCTGTCGTATATAGCTCTGTCGCTGCCACACGGGGATCCCCCAGGCGTTGGCTGAGTGACACGTATGTCAATGGGGTAGTAGAAATCGTATATTTCCGGCACCGGCGAAGACTGCCGCCTACAAGACTTATATTTGTGAGCTGGCAACGCCGGGAAGCCCAAGGTCACTGCCGAATCCCTGCGCTCTAAGTAGGAGCTTCCGGAAGAAGAACAGGTGATGTTGCTGGGCCGTCTTGGCACATCTAGATGACTAAAAAAAAATTAAAAAAAAATAATAATATTTTAGATTAAATGTTATATTAAATATTCCCCACCAACGACAAGCCCAAGTAGCATCTATCTGACTTCGAACTAAATCTGACCTGAAGCGACGTCAGACTTTGTGCAAATTTAGGTCGGGTGACGTCGCTTTCCTATTAAAAGCAACGTCGTTGGATTCGAGTCGGTAAATCCAACGATCGGAAAATAACAACGTACCATTTTTATTAATTTCCAAACGTCGTTCCCACGTTGGCTTGCACGACGTACATATACATGAACTAGCCCGACGTCTACCCGTTGTCCGAATAGGATACGTCTCACTGATAATCCCTAAAGTAACGTTCAATTATATTTTGTTGTATTTTATGTTCATATTTATAACCTAATTTACGTATCTCTATTTACGTCCGTAAATACAACCCATTAAGTAGCAATCGCGGCCTAATGAACATCATGAACATAACCTAATAAAAAGTTTTTGTAAACAAACTTAATTGTTTTTATTATGCCTAAAAAAACACTAAAAAGGCATTTAGACATTCATCTACATTTTACAGAAAGAGGTCGAGGCTTTTGCAAAATAATAATAGTAGTAGTGATATCTTGCCTTCACCCATGAATGTTTTTTATCCGGAAGAGATGCTGTATTACACTGGTGCATCTTAATTTCATTTTTAAGCTTAGGAAACCAGCAGACTCCATCCTCCTTCCACATGTGAGGTACTGGTTCCAATTTTTTTAAATTTTTTATATATACTATCTTAAAAATGTGGCTGTCCATTTTTTAAGGAGAAAACAAAAACTAAAATATAGTTGCACAAATCCACAAATCACTGATACGCAAAGTGAGGTTACGTGGCGTACGTTGGAATTATATACGTCATAATACGATCGCCGGTCGTCCGGTTTGATGACTTCGGTCGTGTGAGACGACTAATGTTGGAGACCCGGTCGGAATTGGTATATTAGTAGTTCATATTAAGTCGGACACAGAAATCCGCCATTCTTAACAAATATCCGATTGTCAGCCATTTTAAAATCGTTTTTTGTTTTTAAAATTTTTATTCACATTCCGATTTCTAGTAGAATAATATTGATAAAGTTGATTTTGGGGGGAACCACAGTACAATTTTATGATTAAACCAGCTAGAAAATAAAAAAAATATTTTGCGAGTTACTTTTTTATAGATATTTTTATTTCATAAATCTACCTAATTTTGAAGGCGCTCGTTGTTTTCCGGAGTATTTTAACCAGATATATCAAGAAAGTGACTTCCGTTGACAAACTGATGTCTGGATTAATGATTCAGAATTATTATAATATGAATTAGATAGGCACTTATAGTTATATTCGAGGAGTGATTATGAATCCATTTGTAATTAGGTAGTTTGGTTAGGTTTTTAATGTATTTTTGGTAGCGAAATGAAAACCAAACGTAACGTAAGTGCTTAGCGACGAATTTTAAGTGACTAAAATCCAACGTAATATGACGTTGGTAATTGGTAGAATTACATTCCCTATTAGGTCAGATACCGACGTCGAGGCGACCCGAATCTGTATTCCCCATTTAGGTGCAAATAAGGGTCGTCAGGCGGTCGAACCGACGTTGGTACCCAACGTCGGGTTTATTGAACGCGACGTATACCCCACGTTAGATAACGCCCAAACGCTACTTGGGAGGTCCCGCATCGCTTATGCCGGGTCCAGACCAAGCAGACAAAACAAGGACAAGACAGAAACATTCATGTTTTACGTCAAAATTGCATCAAATCCAATACATTTCTGCCACAGTTTTGTTTTGTTTCAAAATTCGGAGACTTTTCAATGTCCCGTCTCGAGTCGGTAAAGATCAAAGTGTCTATGTTTTGTTCGTATATTTTACGACAAGCTGTCGGCGCAGTGTGGACGGCATGTGCTGCCAACACTAGGAGACCAGTGAAATCACACATGGTTAATAAAACTCGTTGGCCTTATGTCATTGTCCTTGTCGTGTGGACAAATTGTTTCAAGTTTGTCTTGTTAGAATTCCCCATTTTTTCTCGTAAGTTTGTCTACTTTTTGTCGCCTTGGTCTGAACGTTACGGCATTAGAGCAAAGTTTACAGGATTAAATCCTAGAGGAAACACTATACCTACCTATTTTGTCACAGCTTTTTATCGTTTGTTACAGCTTAAATACAAACATGGTCTTACTATAATCTTTCATCATAAACATTTTCACTGAATCTTTCCGACATATCTGTTATTATGATATTATACAGGGTAAGCCTTAAATAAGTGTAAATATTTTCAGGGCTGGTAGATCTCGATAAAAGAAACATATATAGATATTCAAATTGAATGCCAAAAAAAATATATATTTATTTTTAAAAAAATTTTGAAAGCCACTGGATTTTTTCTGTATTTGCATCCCAGTTAGAGCCGTAACCATAAACTAAAGCCGTAATCATGGTAATTATTGTTGTTCTCTGGTAATAGAGAGATATCGGTAAACCGAATAGCGTGCATGGACGTTAATAACACCAGGTGTTATTTCCTTTACGTGAGGTGGTATTAACTCTCTTCATTTATAGTTATCGGATCGGAAAGAATTCTGTTCGCGTCGCGTCCGCTATTTAAACTTAACCTAACTTTGAATTTAAAACTTTGAAATAGTTTTGTTTACTAGGTATTTTAAAACTAAAGGGCTAAAGTGCTTATTTCCTGTGCTTTATTGTTCAACGTCTGCCAGTGGGTTTAGGGCAACAAATTCTCTTAGAAGGGCTAAGTCGTCATCTGCTGTAAACCTAAGCCTCTTTATAGGTTCTTTAATATTGGAAGAGGTGGAATCCATATTTTGGGCCATAATAAAACTAAAGTAATAATTCAAAACAATTCAAACATAATCTGAAATAAAAGATCTCGCCGGCCGGCCCCGGTTGTCAAATACCCGCACATGCTCATTTAAGCAATTTTTAAACTTCTATTTATATCTGTTTTTTAGTTAAGAGCACTGCTAGTTCTAATTGCCTTAAAAATAATAAGTATAATAATAATTTAAATCTCCCGCTCTTTCATAGTTCGTACCTGTAGCCAAGTAGAGGGCGCTAAAAGCGCAATCTCCCAACGTTTTACCACGCGATTCACCACTCTCTAAACTATTAACTTTCTCTATGAATTATACCGTGGAAAATTTGCGGCAGTTCTAACGCTTTATAAAATATACAGGAATATTTAAAAGAAACTGCACGATTTTTAACATCTTTTTGAAAAAAAAACCTAATAGACGTGTTCCTGAGGTCGATATATACCACCCCTAAAAATATTTGCACTTATTTAAGACTCACCCTGTATACCGGGTGCGTCTCAAAAGTGGCTCACCCCTATAACTTTTTTTTAAATCAAAAATTGTAGTCATTTCCAGTGAAACAGGAAGTGACCAAAAACAACTGAATACGTCAATCGATCCTAATTTATGTCATATACTAATATACCAAATCTAGATATTTTATCTGAAAAAATAAATAAGTTACTATGGGTCGTAGGGGTGAGCCATTTTTGAGACGCACCCGGTATAATACATACATAAAAATTATATTATTTTTTAATACTAAAACTGGATATTATGTACTCATGGCTATTACCAGTTTACTCATTGTATCTATTTTATTTATTACATTCAATATGTTACAACCTCTTTTTATTCTGTGCTATTTAATATAATCATTCAAAATCGTCGCTTATGTTTATAAATGATTTAAATTCAACAACCTATATCGAGCAAAAATCATTAAAGAAAACGATCACCTACCTATTATAATAAACATCTTCATATAAAGAATTATTATCTTCGGGTGGCGAATCCTCGTCTACAAAACAAGGTAGTCTTGGACTCGCCCTAATCGGCCCTTCCAACAGGCTACTGTATCCTAAAACAGGTAAATTTAAATTTATAGATGTATATAAATCATTAACACTAAATAATATTAAACATCATTTTTAATCAATTAATATTTCAACTCTAAAATCTAAAAAAATATATTTTAAAATATATTTGGACATAACATTTCTTCTTTAATATTACCCTAAATATTAACGAAAGCAAATTTAAAAATTTATATTTTTAGATAAAAATATCAATTTTATAAGCGTTTAACCAGAGCAAAATATAAATCAGAATGAAACAAAAAGCGGATGTTTTCGCTTCATTGCTCCAAATGAGGCGGAAAAAATGCGTTATTTTAATATTTCAGCCTGAGATAAGAGTGCTTTTATAACAATGGGGTGTTTTAAAGTAGAAGGGCAAGACATTCATGTTTTATCGAATACGCCTCGGAAAGAGAAATATCGAAAAAAAAACAATTTTCAAATATTTTCCTATTTTTTTTCTATAAAATCGACCTTTTTTGTTTTGTTATACAAAAAAATTGGTCAAGTGCGAGTCGGACTCGCGCACGAAGGGTTCCGTACCATTCATTATCTATACGACATTAGACAATATATTATTATAAACTTTTTTTCCGATTTAGCTGAAATTTTGAATGCGCGTATAAGTAATTTAAAAAAAAATGAAGAAACTCATTACTAAAAATTGTATTAAGCAATAATAAATATGTAAAAATATGTAAAAATTAAAAAAAAAACGATTAAAAAAAAGTCGCCTTGACTAGGATTTGAACCTGCCTTACTAGGGCTCCAACGTCATAGCAGCGTAAAGTCCTAACCACAGTTTAAAGAATATAAAATATAAAAATATATTAATGGTTACCTCCAACTGAAGAAAATCTTCTTGACCCCCGATGCGCATGGGAACCATTAGATATATCTAAAGATTTTCTGCTGGACCTTCTAGGATTCAGTTCCTGATAAGCTGTAGCTTCTAAAGCAAGCTGAATTTGTCTTTCTTCTTCTTCAGCTTCAGCTACCGCTGCTGCAGTGAAATTGGGATCTTCTAGTGCTTTTTCAGTCTGAAAAAATCATACACCTGTATTATAATAAAATGTAATAATACTGGTACATATCAGTAATGGAATATTTACAAAGTACATGGTAAAATATACCGGGCGTTGCATCGTCGGACAGGACATAGAAAATCCCATGTAAATTTTAATGGGGTCAATTATTGGCTTCCCTAATTATTTTAGAGAATAATTCTATTTAGGTTTATTGAAGAGCACTAAAACCCATATTCAAAAGAATAACTTTAGATATTTTTGATTAGCTCGTTCACGAGTTATCGCCGATTTCTTTTTAAATATTTCTCCTTTCTTATGGCCCTGTATTTACTTATGAGCACCAGTCAAGGTAAAAGATAACTGTCAAATGAAGTTATCATTTCAGAAATTTACCTATTTAGTGCTTTATTATTATTGAAAACTCATTCCTACATCGGAAATCTTAAACATGTATTTATAAATACTAACTAATATGAATTAAAGTAAAATAAAGTAATCAATTACAATGTTAATTATAGTATTATTACAATATTCAATAACTTATTAATTTAGGTACTATTAAATGACAACTTCATTTGACAGTTATATTTTACCTTCACTGGTGCTCATAAGTAAATACTGGGCCATAAGAAAGGAGAAATATTTAAAAAGAAATCGGCGATAACTCGGGCGTAAACGGGCTAATCAAAAATATATAACATTATTCTTTTGAATGTCGGTTTTAGTGCTCTTCAATAGACTTAAATAGAATTATTCTCTAAAATAATTAGGGAAGCCAATAATTGACCCCATTAAAATTTACATGGGATTTCCTATGTCCCGCTCGACGATGCAACACCCGGTATGCCATGTGTATTTTTACAACAACAGTTATAAAGCCAATTTACTTGAAAAATACAGGCTGCTTGTAGAATCACAAAATACAATGTAAAAATTTGTGCATTGCGTAGAAAATGCATTCTCTACGAAAAGTTGAAGAAATAAAACTAAATGATGTAAAATTGATGTAAAAACTAAAAATGTAATATTTTTTGGAATTTATTTGGAACACTCTGTACCTTTTCAAAATGATTTTAAATTGTAGCTTTGGTAGTACTTCAACAATCCCATAACTCATAATTTCTAAAAATCCAACTACCTATTTGGCTACAATGGTCGAATATGTCGAATGAGGTGAATAACCCTGTAGATTTTCTGGAGAGTGGAATAATATATTCCACACGTTCGGGTACATATTTATCTAAAATATGTACCCGAAACATATATTATATTAACATTTCACTATTTTATAAGCATATCTGTGGCGTTCTAGTTTCGGTGCGTAAAATTTGAGAAAAGTTTTGTGGTGTGACCCAATTTTTCAGCCCCGTGACTTTTCGTTCACGCTTCATTTAGGCCATTCTGGCACCATGCTAGCTTATCTTGAGCTTTTGTCGATTGACAATCGTGAAATGAAACAGATAAGCTACTGAGTGTTGCATCGTTTTTGGCAACATACAGGGTCGTGGCGCCTCTGATTCGCCGCTAAAGCTCCAAATAGAACGGTAGGTTATATCGAAATGAAATTTTGGCAGCATAGGCATAGGTAGGTTAACTGAAAGCATTTTATAAAAATATATAGAATTATACAGGGTATCCGTAAAAAAAGTTACGCATCAAAGTTGTGTTTTTTCTAATGGAAGACCCTATATATTAATTGATTTTCGGATTCTCGGAAAAAAATAAAGGTGAGTTTTATTAAAGAAGCATATACATAAAATCTAAGGATTTTGACATATTTTCTGAAAATGAAGAGTAAATTTAAATTTCTATAGCAGCTACCTAAATTTTAGTTGACCTTGTATAGCCTGATATTTAATTACAGTAACCATTGTATGTTAAATTAAATCGAAATTTGACGCGAAAAGTTATACAGGGTGAGACAAAATTAATAGGGAACATTAGTGACTTTTAAAAGCAAGTTACTCCATTATTTTAAACGGAACACCCAATATATTTTTCCGGTGTTCAATGGGGAATTTATATATCTTCAAAATATTATTAAGGTTGCCTATCCCTCAGACAAAAATTTACCTAGATATTTTAATTTTTATGATTTTGCATCAGTAGATTTTTATTATTTGAAAAAATCTAGGGTAGCTGTGATATACCTTTTGTTAATTTAACAAAAATTAAAGATTGTAGAGTAAAATACTAAGCGGTAATAAAAAGACACACGTTTAAAACATACTTTAATTATTACAGGATTAAAACTAGATAAAAACCTATAATTATGTGACAAAAATTAGCTAGATGAAATCAAATGCTCAAAATGCTTCCTTTTCTGTTAACTGCATAAAATGATTGTCTTTTCAAATTCTTTTCATTTTTAAAAGGCATATATGAAGTTCTACCTCGAGAAGCAGCTACAATAATTTCTCTCATGTTATCGAGAATGGTTGGTCGAGTTTTAAAAACACTGTCTTCAACATATCCCCATAAAAAAAAACCAGACTAGATCAAATCAGGAGTATAGTCTGTCCAACGAGAAGATCCTTGACAGTGATAGATGTGTCTGTCATTTTAATTTCAAAGTAGTTTATTTTATTTTACAAAGAAATAAGTTGGTAAAACTGGAACGCATAGCAGGAAATTAATATATTTAAAATTTGACTGACAAGTAACTTCAAAATATTGTGAAAAAAACTGTATAAAACTGAAAAAATGTAATCGAGTTATTTTATTTAATACGAAACGGTATGTGTTAATACAAAACAAACAAAAACAAGCCACCACATACCAAAAAATATAAAAAAGAACTATTTCTTACTTTGAAGCTTTATGAAACTTCCCGCATTTATGATTATATTTATCAATATAACTTATGTACAAATACAAATTTGTAATATTCCGCAGGAATAAATAATACAACATAAATAAAACAAACTATCTTATTAATAATAACACTTACAAAATTTTATACCTCACAGGTTGATTAATTAACTTTAATCTTAATTTTTTGAAACCAGTACCTTTTGACATTATTTTTCTTGCAGTACTAAAATCCATTATTTACCTATCGTGTGATGTCGATATTTTACAGCTACTCCAGTTTTTAGTATGTGTTTAGTATGGTCCTTCTACCATATTCGAGATGCACTTATCTACGACGAGATGGTATACGAACTTTATTGATATATAGTAACTTTACTGGTGTATCTGTATAAGACTTTCTGCCTGGGCAGCGAGTATTAACCATAAACTGTGCTCTGGGTTCTACAGTTAATTTTCACTCGATTTTTCCTCCACTTGACTTCAAAAGACACAAAACACACGTAATAACACGAATCAAAATGCATCATCTTCCAAAACGCAGGGTATTTGACAAAAGTTGTCACAAAATTATTATAACCTATAACAATTTGGCAAGACTTTGACAAATGTCAAAAATCTAAAGGTGAGTTCATACCAGAGAAATAGAAGGGATAGAGAATGAGCGTCAACATGCGCAGAAGGTCTAATCAAGTTGGGCGCCATATTCCAGGTCTTCCTGTCATTTTGTATATAGGTGGTAATCTATAAGTAATCAAATATCAATTTGCTGTTTTCAACCATACGGGGGGCAATTTAAATTTAGTGAAATTCTATCATTTATTATGGTTAGTTAACATTAATATGATTTATTTAATTATCAGTTTCAAAACTGCGTACAATATTGGTATATAATACACTAAATATACGAATATTCTGACAAAAGACGCTACGGACAGATGACCTTTTCGTCGTTAAATACTCGAAATGATATTAAATAAGTATTTACAATATTTCATGTTTTACTTGTACTGAATTACGCGTTTCAATTTAAAATTTTTGCAAATTTGGTAAAAATTGTTCTAAACAACTTTTTGTTCAAGTTGTATATTCATAAAAAACATTTGGTTCATAATTATTTTTGATGATTACCTACCTTGTATTTTTAATATAAACCTAGAAAAAATATGTTTTTGTTTTATTTTTTTTATTCGTCCCTTCAAATTATGTTTCAAAAACTGTTACATAACATGTCCTCTAACAAATATTTTCATAATACATAAACATCATTGATTTTATTAAGGGTATTATTATTAGTATTTATCCTGGTTTTTGTCGACAATAAAAACTCAATCTTGTAATAGAACATCAATTTTATATTTCGTAAAATTATTTTGATACAAATTCGATTTGTCAAAATTCAAGTCATTAATATATTGATAAACAACCCAAATTATTCCTAAATATTTTATTATAAACAAAAACTGTTACCGGTAAGTTTGTAAAACACATTATGGTTTGTCGTAATACTAGAAAAAATCATTTATTTTTTGCACAAAAGAAGCTTGTCGATCCTTATTTGTCCATAACAAAATTCTGTATGTACATATACCTAATTTATTATTAAGAAAATTAGATTATATGATCTCAGAATTTTAAGAAATTTTTTTTTAAGATAAAATAGTTTCTTCTCAACTGTAATATTGTCAACTTTGGCCTGTATTTTATCTATTTAAAAACATGGGATTGACAATCCCCTTACTAAAATACATACTGGAAGGTACCGATTAAGTTTCATTGCATCAAATACCTTTACTATAAATCCTGGCTCACAACTCACAATTTAAGGCCATTGCAAAATGCTTTTGAACTTCATCATAGATTTTACAAGAATAAAAGTGTAATATTGAAACAAAGTAACACTGTAAGCTTCATGACTAATAGTCTCATTTTTAACACTCTTTAAATATCATCTCGTTAACAATTATGAATATTATATGATTTTTCTCAGTGATTTGTGGCACAGATACAAATTAATATATGCCCCATAACAGTTCTTAAATAAGAAACTTCTGCCTACAGATTTAATTTTCTTATTGGCTTTCTTATATAAATCTTGCCATTTTTTCAGTCCAATGTTCCTTGTTTTTACAGTTGTAGGAATACTAAAAATGTTGACTATAGAACTCGATACTATGTTTGAAAAAGCCTTCATACCTGTA